CGCGAGGCCTCCTAGATCATCGCGCACCCAGGTGTCCAAAGATCCCGGCGTCCAAGAACAGGACCCTGAACCAGATCTTCAAGAGGAGGCCCATCGGATCCCTGACAAGGTTCCCATAGACACGCAATCGAGCTGCCTTGGCGTCGGCGAACTCGCACCTCACCTTCTCTACAACCCTACAATGTTAGCGACGATCTGAGGAGGTGGGTGACGACGACAGACACCAAGGCCATAGCCCGGATATTCAGACGCCGTAGTATCGCCAGCCCACAGAAATCGCCAATACCAGGCGCACAGAGGCAATGTTGATTGAACCCAGCGGAGCACCCTGAGGACCCCTTCCCAGAAGATAGCAGGCTCTGAAGATCTCCCGCGAGCAAAGGCGAATGTCGCAGACATCATCGATGAGATGTCTCTTCCACTGAGCATCGCCCACGCGATTGACCCACAAGCGTAGAGAGTGCACGAGAGGAACTATTCCCATGACTAAGCACGGATCGAATGTCCAGTCGCAGTCTGGCAAGGCGAGACCACGGCACCCCCATGGATCTCTTGTCAAACTCCAGACCGGCAAAAGTCATGGAGACGCAAGCGCCCCGCGGCCCATGCACAGGCAAGCAGTGCCGAGCGCTAGCCACGGTAGCCACAGATATTGACTGCTGCTCGTAGACGGCAGTATCTTTCGAGTCAGCAGCCGCGCAGACGTTGTCAACGCAGGCTGCCGCGGGCCAATGTGACGACGACTGCAGCTTGCAGGTCGGCGCCCCAACCACGATGAAGCGGCTCTCGTCGATGCCAACATCGCGGGATATGACATTGGTGAGAGCATCCCGGCAAACATGTCGCGCCCAGTTCCAACCCATTGGCATCGCCAAAGTCTCAGGCGCAACATCGACATCCATCGGGGGACCGTCTAGACGAAGAACCCGATTCGCATTGCACGGCAGGGTGAAAGCCTGAACAAAATCTCCAGAAAGACGCACGTGGTGAAAGGCGCGCTGGATGTCGGCCGACGCCACATGGCCGATGACGTCGGGGCAGCTCTCCAGGTGCGCGCAACGAGCGCCGGTTGGCAGCTGTGTACCAGCTGGCTCCGCGGATGAGAGATTAGCAATGCGCGTGTCGAGCGCCGCCCTGAGGTTACCATCCTTCTTGGTCACGGAGAAAGCCCCCGCCGCGGGCGCGGCAGTCGGGCACTGAACCTCAGCATCCCAGCCGCGTCAAGTCGACGCAGGCTGTCAGCGCGGCGGTCGGGGCAGCCCAGAAGTAGGGGGTCGACGCAAGGCGTGGCCTGACTGCCCCCGCCCGGCAACAGTGACAGACTCGGAGACCAGCATGCTCGACCTCCAAGACCCCGGCCTGTCAAGCGAGGCCCGACTGCACGTCTGATCCAACGGCGTCGTGGTCGCCCCCGCAGCAGGCCAGATCGCACGGCCCTCGGCGCGGGGCCCCACCGTGGCACCGTCGTCACACTGCCCAGGAGCGTTACGGAGCAGCCCCCCCAAGGCGGCATCCGCTGTAGCGTCGGTGGCGGGTAGGTATCGCGAAGCTGGGCAGCTCCAGGCCCGCGCAAACCCTGCGGCCTCGCCAGGAGGGCCTGCCGCAGGGCGAGGGGGCGCGACGGGCAACTGGCGCAACGCCCGCTCTCCCGGGCCCCCAAGAACAGGTCATTCTCCACCCTGTCGTCGAGCACCTGAGCTTTGTCCTTGTCCTTCTTGTCGTTGCCTGTCGGCCGAAAAGAAAGCTCCACGGCCCTCTCCTCCAGCAGCGGGAGGCGCATGACTGTCATCTCCAGGCGCGCGAGCTCCCCGACGTTCACCTGGTAATGGCGCGCCGCCAACTCCAGGACGCGGCAGAGGAGAGCGTGCTCCCTGGTGACTGGGTCGTCCTCAGACATCCGCCACTCGGTCATCCACTGAGTGTGCCACGCCGAAAGAGACCCAGCTTGCCGCTGGATGCGGGCGCAGACCCGCGCCGCCGTGCGAGGTCCCCGTGCAGGCCAGTCCCTCCAGCTGGTGTTCGCGTGGAGGTTCGTGCCGTCGCGAAACTCCCTCGAACGGTCGCCCTTCACGTCGATCGCGATCGGGCTGGCCCCGAGGTCCGAGCTCGCCGCGGGAGCGCCAACCACAGCTCCAGCAGCAGGCACCAAAGCGCCGCCAGCAGCAGCCGCAGCGGGGAGCGGCGCCGCGGGCGCCGCGGCGGGCGCGGCAAGCGCGGCGGGCGCCGCAGCCGCCGGCAGCTGCGGGGCGGGCAGCGCAGGCAAGACAGGCCGATCGCAGGCGCTGCCGCAGGGGCGGCCCCGCCGAGGGCCGCCGCCAGGCCAGGGAGGGCCACGGCCCCACCACCTCCCGCGGGCACGAGGCCAGCGGCCAGGCCTGGCGCGCCAGCAGCCGCTGCGGGCGCCCCATGGGCGGGGGCGGCGGGCGCTCCAGGATCCTCGAGGCCAGCAGGCGCGGGGTCGGGCAGCAGCACACTCCCAGCGGGCAGCCCTCCAGCGTTGCCGACCGCCACAGGCCTGATGGCGGGCGAGCGCGGGCGCGGCAGCCCGTAGAGCACCGCCGCCCAGCCCACACCCCCGCGGCCGCCGGCAAAACCCTGAGGCCGTACACGCGCAGCCCAGCGGGGCGCTCGCCCTGGCCGGACAGCATGGTGGTGCCCGCCACGTCGGCGTCGGGCACCGCGGCTTCCTCGTACCTGTCCACGTCGGGCGTGATGACGAAGCGTGCTGGGCATGGCCCACGGAAAACGAGCAACCTCTCATGCCAGACGGCCGCACCACCGACGCGGTAACTCACTAAGCACCACTGCATTGGATGCGCCATCGTCGCAGTCCAACGGACTTGCGATCACGAATAGTCCTTGCATGTGCCCTCGCCTCCTCCTCGAAATTCCGCGGACGACACGGCAAGCGACGCACCAGCAGCAGCCCTCCAAGCAGTCCAAGGACGGACCCCGTCACGAGAGCCGCCGCCGCATGCGCCAGCACCAGCCCACCGCACGAGATGGCTCGGGCACCTGGCCACCCGCGCCCGCGCAGACGCACGCAAGGACGGCGGGGCAGGAGAGCTGAGGCACGCAGGCTCCACAGCTCGACGCGGCCGCCCGCGCCACCGCGGAGGCTCCCAGGGCCTGAGCTCCGTATCGCGCGACCTCTCCGAAGGCGAGAGCGAGATCTTGCACGGAGCCGCTCAAATTGAAGACTTGAGCCGCAGTGCTTGCGGCACACACACACACACACTTGCAACGATCAAAAACACTCAGAAGCAGTTGTGATGATGACGACGACGACGACGACGATGACGATGACGATGAGGAGGATGAGAATTATGAGGATGATGATGAGGATGAGGATGAGGGTGCGGATCCTGATGATGCTGCTGATGAGGAGGAGGAGGAGGAGGAGGAGGAGGAGGACGACGACGAGGACCATAATTGGTGACCCCAAGATGCATCCACGTTGCTTCCCCATCGGGGGGGCGGTTACCCCTCCCCCTGCGCCCTCTCCCTGGACATGGACGGGGCGTGTCGCGACGCGCCGGAAGGTCAAACACGGAATCGGCGAGAAAGCCCAACTCATTGATCAACTCGTTGATGGTACCAGGGTGGTGGCTCGATGATGGCCTCCTGGGGGGGGGGCGGCCAATCTACCCCCGCCTCGTCGTTGATCGATCACCTCCAGGATGGCCCCCAAATGGCCCCCGAGGCTCCTCGGAGTGCCCCAAGGGGGGCCCCAGGAGGCCCCCAAAGGCCTCCGAGGTGCCCCTAATCTAATATGACGAACCAACAACACACACCCATACCCATATGGGGGGTCGGAAAGGGCCATGGGTGCGTGTTGTCGGATGGGGGTCCCCGCTCGAACGGAAGCGTTCCCTGGGGTCCGACAACCCGCACCCATACCCATAACCAGTCCTCCCTCCCAACGACCCCCTCATGGGTATGGGTGTGTGTTGTTCGTTCGTCATAATAGGCCCCGGGAGACCTCCGGGAGGCCCGAAAAGGCTCCGCGGCCGAGCTCCCGCGACCGCCGCGACGCGTGCCCGCGCCGGCCAAACGGGGGCCCCGAGGGAAAAGGTAGCCGCGGGACGGGCGGGGCGGGGCGCGGTCTCGCGGGCGGGGGCGGCAGGGCGGCCGCGCCCGGCCCAGAGGGGGGAGGGAGAGAGATGTCCATCGGCGGCGAGCGAGGGGGGGGGGCAAGCTAGGTGCGCTCGCGTCATATCTGACATCCTACCCCTCCCTCCCATCCCTTACCATGGCGCAGATCCCCTCTCTATTCGCACAGTCGGATGTCGAGCAGGGCAATGATCCCGAAAGGGTACGCGATGCGTTGTAGAGCACGGGGGGGAAGTGAGGAGGAGGAGGCCTTCTCAGAAGGCGGCAGGGCTTCTCAGAGGGCCTCGCGCCGTCTGAGAACTTCTGTGCCTGAGTAGCTTCCGAGAAGGCAAGGGGACTTCCGAGCCCTCTGAGAAGGCCCGCCCCTTCTGACTTCCCCCTCGGGCTCCCCGCCGATTCCAGGACTTCTGTAATCGCGTTGCGACAAAGGCTCAAGAGATCAGGACGATCGGTCAAGATCACGTTGCGATAAAAGGGGAAAAGGTCTCCCGAGATCCGGTCGAGATATCGATGCCGAGTCTTCGTGATCTCGGGACGGCACAGCTCTCCTGGGCCCTTGAGCTGAGCTGGACCTGACCGAAGAGAGCGGGACGGGGGGAGGGAGAAGCGGGGGAGGGAGGGAGGGAGGGAGAAGCGGGGAGGGCAGGGGGCAGGGAGGGGGAGGGAGACCGAGGGCAGGGGGGAGGGAGGGAGAAGCGGGGGAGGGCGGGGGAGGGAGAAGCGGGGGAGGGAGACAGGGCAGCGGGGAGGGGGGGGGGGAGCAGGGGCGGAGGGGGTAGCGGGGGAGGTGGGGAGGGGAGGGGAGGGGAGGGAAGGAGGGAGGAAGGAGGGAGGGGAAGGAGGGCGCCGCGGCGGCTTCGGTTGCCGATTCCGCCGCTCGCTCTGGCTCAGTGGGCTGCGACATCCTCGGTCTCGCTGCTGACGAGATCCTGGGAAGACGCTGGCTGTAATGTGAGTCCAAGAACTATCCGCCACCGTGCCTCGAGGCACGAGTTGGAGTGTCCTCGGGGCCTCTTTGATCCTCAGTAACATCCTAAATCTCTTGGAGCTCCCTGCGTGACTCCCGCGGTTCCCTGGCGCTTCCCGCATGCCTTTCTCAGAGCCGCGAGCGCCCCATAGCGGGCCAAGAGGGCCCCGAGAGGCCTCCAAGACGGTTCAAGAGGGCTTCGAGTCGCCGAAACATAGCTTCAAGACGCTTCAGATGGCCTCTAGACGGCCCAAGACACTCCAAAAGAGCTCCAAGAGCGCGTCCAACAGGGCCCCGCGAGGCGAAAACCATTGATCTTCCGTCGGAGTTTGAAGGATTCTCCGGCTTTCGCCTTTTCGGTCCTCCGACGCTCCAAAACTTCCTACGAGCCCCCAGGATCGCTCCAAGACGACCCAAAGCTCGTAAGAGGGCCCAAGAGGGCCCCAAGACGGCCCACGAGGCCTCCAAGTTGGCCCAAGAGGGCCCCGAAAGGGGCCCGAGTGGGGGAGCACGGGCTGACTTTTTGCGCCCATCCCAAGAGGGCCCCTGAGACCGCCAGCAGGCCCCCGAGAGGCCCCCAAGAGGCCACCAAGAGGCCCAAAACAGGCCCCAGGCGGCCGCAGAGCAGTCCCCAAGAGGCCTCAAGACCGCGTCCAAGATCCAAGAGGGTCCCGAAGCGCCGCCCAAGAGACCCCCACGGGCAGCCCTCAGGACACTGACGCACAACCCCAGGCACGGTAGCGGGTTGGGCCGAACACCATTCAGATAAAAAGCGCTGGGCCATGAACAACACATGCTTGAGCGGCCCAAGACCGCGGGAGCCACGTCTCCCAGCATCACGCGAAGCATAGCAGGCAGCAACAACAAAAAAACGCCGACTGGGGGTCACAATGCCGGAGGAGAAACGGAATGAATCTTTCGCCGCCGGGAGCGCTGCTCCCTCCCTGGGACAAGACGGGGAGAGCACTTTTCCGGGACAAACATGACGAAGAAGCTGGAAACAGATGCGGACGCCAGAAATTCCATGGACGTGAAGCGGCCAGGGCTGGAGAAGCTGGCAGGGACTGAAACGGGCCCGAAACGGTTCGGATGAGGCTGCCGGGGCTAGAAAACCTGGCAGGAGACTGGCCAAGGCTTGAACGGTTGGAAAGGCTGACCCCTGCTATGATTTCTGGCTTCCCTGTACATCCGCACCGAGCCTTTCTCAGACATGCGATGCTTTGGCGTTTGCCATACAGAGTCTCCAGAAGTCCCGACCCATTCCCCAGGGCCAGATTTTCATCCCGAGCCAGTTTTTCCCCAGAGGCAGACAACTGCCAAAAGCCTTCCGTCGTGATCTTTGACACAACGCGAGCACGTCAGGGTGCCCACTCTGAGCCCAAGAATGGCGCATGCGGCCTCCTGGCTTGGGCCACGGCGGCACATGCGCAGTCCCTGGGCCCAGCAAAGGCGAGGGCATGGGCCCGCAGCTGGAGGCCTCTGGAGGCCGAAGAGCGAGAGACTCAAAAACGCTCAAAAGGATGCCTCCTCTTCGCCAGGAGGTCGAGGGGGAGGACCAGTGTTGATGTGGAGATGTACCTTCGGGAACTGTTGCTTGGCGCGTCGCGGCGGCGACCCCAGCGACACGGTGCGCCCTGCAAGCGGAGGATATCGTGTCGCTCCGCACCTCGGGGCGGCAGGCTCGGACGCTTGGCGCTCGGGGACCGAGAAGTGGCTCGCGTGTCGCGCCGAAGCGTGGTGGGCCAGAACTGGCCGCGCGACGCGCTAAGCAAAAGTTCCCGACCGTGGCCGGCGCCCGCCGAGGTCCTGGACCACATAGCTGAAGGTCGGGATGCCCGCGTCGCTCGGCGCGTCCGGCGGGACCATGGACGGCACAGTGAAGTCGTGGAGCTGTGACCTCTCCGTGTCGGTGCTGCCGATTCTGTCGCCGCCGCCACCGTCGCCGACGCTGTCGCCGCCGTCGCCGCTGTCGCCGTCGCCTTCGCGACCGCCATCGCCCTCGTCGTGCCTTCGCCATCACACTCTTGGTCGCCGCCGTCTTCACTGTCGTCGCTGCCGTCGTCGCCGTCGCCGCCGGTGGCCTTTCAGTGTCAGTGACGGCGAAGCTGGAGGACTTCTGTATCAGCGGCACCGCGATCTCGAGAACCTCGGGCGCCGCGGTCTGGCAGCCACACCGTTCCTCCTCCTCCTCCTCCACCTCCTCCTCCTCCTCCTCCTCCTCCTCCTCCTCCTCCTCCACTTCCTCCTCCTCCTGTTCCTGCCCCTCCTCCTCCACCTCCTCCTCCTGAGTCTCCTCCTCCTCCTCCTCCTCCTCCTCCTCCTCCTTCTCGTCTTCCTCCTCGTCATCGTCGTCGTTATCCTCCTCCTTCAGGCGCGCGCCAAGAGTGTCGTGTGCGCGCGTTGGCGCCAGGCCCGCGCACCCCACCCATGAGGGCCGCGGCTTCCCCTTTAACCACGGTCAACTCACCATGTCGGGAGCCATGTTCACACGCGTCTTCCAAAGCGTCAAAGCCAACAGTGGGCGACTTGATGCGATCACATCGAGCCCCGTCGGGACAAGACCACTAGGCGCCTCAAATGATCATCAGACCCCGTCGGGCCGCGACCAGCGGGAACAGGGACAAGGGCCGCGATCCACTGTGATGCGATGATCATCAAACCCCCCTCAAAGCCGCGACCAGCAACAGCCCGGGTCAACACTGCCCCGAAGGGCTGCGATCCTCGGCGATGTGAAAGGGGCACCGGAGGTACTCGCCTGCGGCGAGGGGTGGGCAGCAGGGGACCCTACTGAGCGTCTGTAGTCGACGCGGCCCACCAGGGCCAGTCTCTGAGACCCCAACGACACTTCCTCCACGAGAGAGGGGTACGGAGCTTTCTAGCATCGAGACAGGGCACGGTCGAGGCCCATGTCTCAAGGCCGAACCAGCACGGACATGGCTTTGGGGGCAGTCGAGCGACGGGCACTGGGCCCAAACAGCTGCGGAACAGACGTCGTGCTACTCGGTGCTCCCCCGCCACACTCCCGTACGATGAGATGCGTACTCATCAAGGCGGTCCTTTCATCGACACGCGCGCGCCACAAAATCGCGCGCGTCGGTTGGCGCCTTGCTCGCGCACCCCGCTCATGAGGCCCGCGCCCTCCGTTGCGCGCGTCTCCCGAAGTTGAAGGGCCAACAGTCAAGCAATCGCATCGAGCCCTGTCGGGCCGGGGCCACTAAGCGCCCCCACTGATCAGCAGACGCCCCGCTGGGCCACGACCAGAAACTGTAGGGGCCAACACTGCCCCGAAGGGCCGCGATCCTCTGCGTTGCGATGGGGCGCTAGACCAACTCGCCTGCGGCGAGGGGCGGGTGCCACTCTGACCTCCCGGAGTCAACGCGACCCACCAGGGCGAGCATCTGAGACCCCAGCGACACACTCCAACCTTCCACTTGTTTCACCTGGCTAGAAAGCCGCGCAATCAGAAGCTCGAAGCTACGCGCGAAACCGCCCGCGATGAAGCGCACGCCCAGAAAGACACTGGATAGCATCTGGTCAAGAACCACATCGGAAACCGCGGAAACAAAAACACTCCCTTGCGCCACGCGGCTTGAACCCGACTGAGGACAGCCCAAGGGCCGACCTGCAGGGACCCATGGAAGAGGCCGTCGAAGGCCTGAGGAGGCTGCGCAAACAATGGATCACCAGGCAGGAGCCTTTGAAGGACTGTGGAGCGCCACCCTACCAACTTCGCATCATCGACGCTGACCATCTCGCGCCGACTCGGCCGCGGCCCAAACTCCATAAGCTGGAGATTGATGGCGGAAATCTCCCCTGTCCTCGCGCCCGCGACATCTCGCCAGCGGATCGCGAGGACCTCGCGGCTCCGCGGCGCGCGCCGGAAGCCCGCGGCCACGGCGACGGCTGAACGCGGACGCCCGATTTGCATCCTCACTCCCGCGAGCGCCAACGCTACTTGCGTCGCTGGCGGGGTCCGTTCGGGCAACTCCAACGAATCCCACGCTGACTTCAGGCGCCGCGCCAGCGGCAGATGACGCCGCGCACTCGGGAGAAAGCGCTGGCGCGCTGCGAGGGCGCAGACGGCGCAATGCATCCGCTCGCCCCCCCCCCCCAAAGATGCTCGATGCACTCGGCGCGCGGCTGATTCGGCCTGCCGAGGTTAGCTGCGCGGGGTGGCTCGGGGCCCCCAAACGCCCGCAGGGAAAGCTGACGTGCCACTTCCGAGTGCTGCTTGAGCACTCTCTCTGTCATGGCATCGTCGCCTAGCCTGCCCGACGCTACCTCCGCTGCCTTTGGGCGCCCCTCGGCGACGCCCACGGCGCCGACCGCCCTTGTCCTCCAAGGGCCGAGGCGCGCGACTTGTCGGCGGGGTTGTCCGCCGCGCGGACGCACGCGAGGAAAGGGGCGCTGAAGGCAGCGAGGCACAGCGCGCTGAGGTGGCGCGGCGCGCAGTTCAGGAGCGTCGACAAGGAGCGGCCTCTCGCGGCGACAGCAACGGCCGCCTGCGAACCCACGAACACACGCACCCTCGAGCCGAAGGCCTTGGAAATGACGAATCTTCCACAGGAGTGCGTTGCACGCCATGAAAGTCCAGCTCGTTGACGCGGCGGGGCCGATGAAAATTGAAGGCCGCCGTGCGGAGCCACGCCCAACGCCGCCGATCAACGCTGACCCGCGGCCAGGCATCCAAAGGTCAAGCCACGCGTCGCTGCCTCGGCGGCCAGCTCGGCGGGAAAGCCCCAGAATCGCGCCACCCATGAGCTCGCCGGAGCTACCCCCAGAAGGCGACGGCGCGAGCGCCCCAAACCTCTGCGCGGCAAGGGGCTCGCGGCCCAGCCTTTGCCGGCCCCGCAGGAAGGCCTCTCCCACTTCGCCGCGCACTTGCAGGACGCGCGCGGGGCGCGGTTGGGCGCCGGGGGCTGCTCCGCGAGGCCTGCGCCAGACAGCCCCTGGCCTGCCGGCCACGCCGTGGCCGCGGCCTGGCCGCTCGCCGTCGCCGCGGGGCTCGAGCTCGCGGTGCAGTTCTCGGGCTCGTCAGCAGGCACCCTATCGGCCTCCGCGGCCATCTCGCGACGGCACTGCGGCGGGTACTGGAACGGCGGGAACCTGCGCCTGTCCTCACTCCAGCGCCCGAGGGCGATGGCGGCGGGCCCTCCGACGCCTCTCGGGCCGCGCCCAGGTAGCGCGCGAGGCACCGCGAGCGCGGGCGTCGGCACCGCGCTACTTTGGCGGCGCTGGCGAAGTCCGGTCCTCGTCGAGGCACAACTCACGCGACTCCAGCGGGGCTTCGAGCTCGACTAGGTTCACGAGGTCACCCGCGGAGACTGAGACCCCCGCCGTTCCCACGATGGTGAAGCTGGGCCAATGCAGCCGAGGGCGCGCCGCGCCGTGACTCCGAGGGAGTCGACGCGCAGCGGGTGGCAAGCCTGGGCCCCTGACATCACCGCGGCGCCCTGCGCCCCATTGAGGCCGCGCTTTCACTGAAGTCGACGACGGGGGCGATCCTGAGTTTGGCCTGCAGCCAAGGAACCCCGAAGAGAAGGGCAGACCCGGGGTCGGCGAGCCCAGTCCTCTCGGTCGAAGCCACTGGCGCTCCTGCGGGGCGGGCCATGGGCGGCGACTACAGCTGGCGCCCCAAGGCACGCTCGACGCAGGCCCTCAAGCCGCTCGCGGCCCATCTGCGCGACGTCGGACAACTCGACGTCGCCAGGCCAGTTGCGCAGGCGCACCTCCCCGGACGCCTCGTCGGTCTCAGCGTGGCCAGCGCAAGCGACGCGCGCGCCGAGGCGATCCGAGCTCGTCCCGAGTCCGCCGACGCCTCCAAAGAGCTCCACGGCGACGATGCCCCTCTCGCGCAGCTTCTCGGGCGAAGACGCGCGGCAACGCTGCCTGCGCCCTCGGGCGCGCGCCGACGGGCGCCCCGCCGCCCCGCCCAGATGCGCCTGGAGGCAGCCGCGCGCCCGCCGCCGCGGCGTGGAGTTCGACGCCCAGCGACCGCCACGAGGTGCGCATCTGGCTGATCACGCAGACGCGCCGCAGGGGCCGCATGCTCCAGCACGCGCTCGATGGGCGGGTCGGCTATCCCGGCCAGTCCGCCCACCTCAACCCCTTCCGAAGAGCGGAGGGTGACCCGGCCGCGCCCTTGCATTGACGCGGGCGCCCGCATCGATGAACGCGCGCCCCGCGTGGCACGCTGGCGCCCAGGCGCGGCGGCAGCGACATCGACGGCCATGACGAACTCAGTCTGATCGGCGTCGTTGACGCACGTGCTCCGGCACCAGCGCGGGCCCGCTGCCTCTCGCACTGGGAATGGCGCGTCGCTCCTAAACCGCCTCAATTCCCGGTTCGCCGCCAGGCCCCCCTCAGGCCATCTGCGGCGATCCGGAAGCGCGCGCGCTGTGCCGCCCCCGCGGCGGACAGCCAGCCCATCGGGATCGCTTTCGCGCGCGCGTACTCGAGCTCCACCTCGCCGCCGGGCCCGACGGACCTGGGCGGCTCCGGTAAAGGGAAATTAGGACACACAAATAAATACACACAAATAAATATAGTCCCCATATTTTCTCATATTTTCTGGGTTTTTGTCTTCCCCCCCAATTCCCATATTTTCCCATATTTTCCTGGGAATCGAGGATTAATTGTGTCTGTGTGTTTCTTTCTCTCCTGATCCGGGGCGGCGAACCACCTCCGATAATCAGGAGGAAGAACGCAGAGGGGGAAGTAGCCGGAGATGTCATCGCCAGAGAGGAGGGCTCCTCCACGAGGACCACCTGGGCGAATTCGCCTGGCAGCGGTAGCTTGTCGATGTCACCCAGGACAAGGGTATCCCGCGCTGGTCGAGCTGAGGTTGGCCATGGACCTCCGCTGGTGCGAGTGCCCCTGCGGGGCGCCACCACTCCTCCTCGCCCCGAACGCGCCGCTGCCACGCTACTTCCAATGCGTCAAATATATATATATATATATATATATATATATATATATATATATATATATATATATAGGTATATCTATATGAGCTCTGCCAAGGCAATCGCAATAACGCTTCGGTCAAGCGGCTGGGCAGTCACGAGGCCCCACTCGGTGACCTCAGGACGCTCGTCGACGGGGGGCACGATGGCCCTCAAAATTTTCGAGCGCTGACCTCGCCGCTGGGCTGCATTAACCGATCGCCCGCAACGCCCCGCCAGTCTTCCGCGGCGGCAAGGGCGCCCCGATCTGGGCCCGCGCGATCAGCACGGGCTGCGCAACCGGCTCCCCGCAAGCAATATCGGGCGCCTTCGCGGGCTCCTCCGCGCGACCATCCGCGCGACCATCCGCGCCGAGCTGTCGCCGCCGCGCGCTGAGCACAAGCCGACGGCCGCCTCGCCCAAGCACTGGGCCGCCTCTTGCTGAGCCGCGGCGCAGCGCGGGGCGCAGGAGACGCGGCGCCTCGACGAAGCCGCGGTCCGAGTGGAGGCAGTTGGCCATCGAGACCTGAACGCACATCCATACGACGACGACAACCTTCCACGGACATTCCCGCCTGTCGTCACCGTCGCGCACAACTGGCTCTGCTTCGGGTCCTTCAAGAACTTGAGAAGCGCCTGGATGTGCACGTGAGTGTTGGGCCGCGAGAGCGGCGGGGCTTCCCGCCGACGCTCGGTGCTCCCGACTGCGCGGCGCGCCTGGTTGAACTCCCGCCGCGCCCTCTCGCGCAGCCCTGTCTGACGCGAGGGCCATCCGCGAGACCCGAGCACATCTCTTTATGATGTTGCACTCCTCGCCATGCAAGCTGCGAAGGGCCTCCCCCGCCATCCTCTTGCGGGCCGCGAAACAACCTCGGCGAAGCCCGCGGGGTCGGCGATGCTCGCGCAGCCGCCCAGTAGCCCATCTGTCGGAGGTAGCCCTGCCCCGAACCTTGGCTTCAGGGTCGCGGCCGCGAGGGCGCGGCGCGCTGCGGCGGCGAGGCGGCTGCCCGCCGCGGGGGCTCCCCTATCCCATGCGCCTTGGGGGCCGGCGGGCACTGACAGGGCCGCGCCCTCGCAGTCCCCCTCGCCCCCCCCCCCGCCGCCCCCCCCCCCCCTCCCCCGAACTGGCGCCCTAGCGCCCTCGCCGGCTGGGCTGCGAGTCGGGTGGCGCGGGCCGCTCGGAACTGCCCCGCCCCGACGCCGGGCCTCTTCTTCGGGGCTGCGCCGGCCAGACGGGTCGCCGCGGGGCGCGCCTCCGCGAGGCCCCCGAGCCCATATAGCCCCCTAGCCTGGGGGCCGCTCGGCCCCCCTCGAACTCTGCTCGATCTCGCTGACCTTCGCCCGCCGCAGCTAAAACTGCCCAACCGACGTCTGCTCTGACGGGGCTGCAAAACCGATCGGGCGCCGAGGGATCAGCTCGCGCTGCGCGGCGAGGCGGGCGCTGCGCGAGCAGGTCGGCCACCCCGGGCAAGTCGCCGATCTGGATGGCGCTCATCCCGCAGACCGCCGCCAAGCGTCGCTGCGGGGGCACAGCGCGCGAACTGCGGTCGCGAGGCGCGACGGGAATCGCGCTTCTGACGGGATCTGCCCCGACGCGACGGCCCCGCCACCGGGCGCCCAGGTAGCGATCGACCTCCTCGATCGCCAGCTGCAGAATCCGCCCAGGGCATCGGCGCGCGAAGGGCGCCGGGACCTCGCCCCCCGAGGAAGAGCCCGGAGAAAACTCGACTTCTTGTCTATCGCCTCGTCCGCGCCCACCAACGGCGGCGACAGCTCGATGCGCCGCCCCCTGGGCCTCGGGCGCGCATTATCCTCTGGCGGGGCCTCTCGCGCCTTCGCGCGGCGCCGCTCGGACCTTTCGACGAGCGCCTCGCCAACCTTCGCGCCGTCGGCGCTGCAGCCCAGTCGCCTCAGCCCCGCTGGCTCAAGAGCTCCGGCCCTCTGCCTGGGCCCCGCTAGTAGATTCTTCTCGAGGTCGGGTCGAGTGACTCCTGGCGGCGCGAAGGCAGGCGGCGGCAGCGGTGCCCGCTCAGCAACGTCGTCGTCGTCGAAGAGGGACGACCCGCCAGCGGGGCCAGCCTTCGGGGCATCGCCCCTCTCGCTGGGCTGTGGCGTCGCGGTCCCTCGCTGAGGTCGCGCGTCGGGCCTCAGGCGGCGCGCGTCTACGCGCGCCAGTTCGCGGCTCGCGTCGAGTTTCTCCACCGCGTCCTTCAGCGGCCTCGTCGCAGAAGTGGATGGGGCCCTTTGCCGCTGCCCCCTTGAAGGCGACGCAAGTCAGTTCACGCCTGCGCCGCCGACGACGTCGAGGAAGAAGGCCTCGTGGAAGGCGCCGTCCTTCCCGTCGACTCTGAAAGCCTCGCCCTCCGCCCCCACGAAGACATGAAGGGCATTGCCATTCGCCTCGCCACAGACCTCGATCACGTCACCACTCTGGCCGACCTTCAAGCGGAGCACACCACGCCTTGCCGCCCAGTGCCACCCAAAGCTCGGGGCTCGTCCTGCGCAGGTGGGGGCGCTCGCGCGGTTCATCATGCTTTGCCCTCGTGCGATTCGCACGGCGCTTGCCAGGCTCCACAGCAGGGGCGATCGCTCCATCCTTACCTCCGGAGCCCGAAACGTCGTCGGCAAGGCCCTCGTCTGGCGCCACGCGCTTGCCCCGCGAACCGCGGGGCCCGCGTCCTTACGTAGGCTGCATTGCAAGCGGCCGCTGCTGAGGCACCCCCCGCATTGGCCGCGCTGGCTGGGCCCGCCGCGGCTGCGACCCCCTCCGGCACGGCCGCCGCCTGTTTGGCCCTCAACCGACGTGAGGGGGTGTTAAGCCACCGTGGGCTGGCCGAAGCAGGCCCATTCCCGACCATCCTCCACATGCGCCTGCAGCCCTGGCCCCAACGGGGCCCTCGGTGCAAGGCGCTGACGCGTGTCCGCGCTCGCCTCTTGCCCCGTGGGTCGACCAACACCCCGAGGGGCGGACCCGGAAATTGGCTCTAGCGCGGCGGCGCCTCCCCGCCGCGGCAGGGCCGCCGTAGCGGGCCAAGGATGGGGGGGCGCCGCGCGGACCGTTTTGGGCCACCTGAACCCAAACAGCTGCGGAGAAGCCATTGGGCTACTCGCTGCTCTCCCGCCATACTCACGTATACTGGGTTGTACACTCGTCATCCTCATCAGCATCAGCATCAGCATCAGCATCATCAGCATCATCAGCATCATCATCATCATCATCATCATCATCATCATCATCATCATCATCATCATCATCATCATCATCATCATCATCATCATCATCATCATCCTCATCCTCATCCTCATCCTCATCCTCATCCTCATCCTCATCCTCATCCTCATCATCATCACCATCATCATCATCATCATCATCATCATCAGCATCATCATCACCATCACCACCACCATCATCATCAGCTTTATCATCATGCTTACCACCCCCCATCATCAGCAGCAGCAGCAGCAGCAGCATCATCATCATCATCATCATCATCATCATCATCATCATCATCATCATCATCATCATCAGCTGCATCATCATAATCATCAGCACCACCAGCATCATCATCACCACCGTCAGCATCAACATCAACTTCGTCATCATCACCATCGTCATCGTCATCATCACCACCGTCATCAAAATGATCAGCATCATCATCGACATCATCAGTATCGTCAGCATCATCTGCATATTCATCACCAGCATTATCATAATCATCAGCACCAGCACCAGCATCATCACCATAATCACCATCATCGACATCACCATCATTAGCAGCATCATCATCAGGACAAGCACCATCATCATCATCATCATCAGCAGCAGCAGCAGCAGCACCACCATCATCATCAGCACCATCATCATCAACAGCATCACCACTATCGTCATCATCAGCATTATCAGCATCATCACCTGCATCATCATCATCATCATCATCATCATCATCATCATCATCATCATCAGCAGCACAATCAGCATATTCTTCATCGTCAGCAGTATCATCATCATCATCATCATCATCATCATCATCATCATCATCAGCATCATCATCATCATCATCATCATCATCGCCATCGACATCATCAGCATCATCATCATCAGCATCATCATAATCATCGGCATCGTCATCGTCACCGTCAGCACTATCGTCAGCATCACCATCAACAACACCACCACCACCACCATCATAACCATCACCATCATCATCACCACCACCATCAGTATCATCACCATCATCACCACCACCACCACTACCATCACTCCACCACCTCCTCTTCCTCCTCCTCCTCCTCCTCCTCCTCCGTCCCCCTCCTCCTCCTTCTCCTCCTCCTCCTCCTCCTCCTTCTCCTCTCCTCCTCCTCCTCCTCCTCCTACTCCTCCTCTTCCTCCCCCTCCTCCTCCTCCCCCTCCTCCTCCTACTCCTCCTCTCCTCCTCCATCCCCCTCCTCCTCCTCCACCACCACCTCCTCCGCCATACCCCTCCTCCTCCTCCTCATCATCCTCCTCCTACTCCTCCTCCGCCTCCTCCTCTTCTCCTCCTCTCCTCCTCCTACATCGCCCTCATCCTCCTCCATCCTCCATCCTCCATCCTCCGTCCTCCATCCTCGTCCTCCTCCACCACCACCTCCTCCTCCGCCTCCGCCTCCGCCTCCTCCTTCCTCCTCCTCCTCCTCTTCCACCTCATTGTCCTCCTCCTCAGCCTCCGCCTCCTCCTCCTCCTTCTCCTCCTCCTCCTCCTCCGCCTTCTCCTGCTTTCTTGCGCAGGCTGAAGGTGTGCTGCTGTGCGTCTCCTCCTCCTCCTCTCCTCCTCCTCTTCCTCCTCCATGCTCCTCCTCCTCTCTCCTCCTCCTCCTCCTCCTCCTCCTCCTCCTCCTCCTCCTTCCTCCTCCTCCCTCCTCCTCCTCCTCCTCCTCCTCCTCCTCCTCCTCCTCCTCCTCCTCCTCCTCCTCCTCCTCCTCCTCCTCCTCTCCTCCTCCTCCTCCTCCTCCTCCTCCTCCTCCTCCTCCTCCTCCTCCTCCTCCTCCTCCTCCTCCTCCTCCTCCTCCTCCTCCTCCTCCTCCTTCTCCTCCTCCTCCTCCTCCTCCTCCTCCTCCTCCGCCTCCTCCTCCTCCCTCCTCCGTGCTGCGTCCTCCCCCGACGATTTTGCGACGACGCCGCCTCGTGGATCCACTGGACCTCCCGGTGCAGCATGGCGACGTCGAGGCTCTTCGCCGCGCCCCGGAGCTTGAGGCAGCCGAACATGAACTCCTCGGGGTCGAGACGGCCCGACTGGTCGTGGTCAAGGAGGAGGAAGAGCTTGCCCACCTCAGATGAAGCAGAAAATTTTCCTTGCAAAGGTCCGCGCGAATTTTCTTGGGTCGGTGCTGGGACCCCCCTCTGGCGCCGCCACCGACGGAGCCCCTGGCGCGCTCAGCGCGACAGGGAGGGGGCCCAGTGCCGATCCAAGAAATGTTCGCGGACCTGCGAAGATGTATGCCCATGCAGGTTTTTACTATTCGAGTCAAGGCTCGAGAATCGACAATCGAGGTCTTCGGGTGCTCCCGTGCGTTCCCAGAGGCCTTCCAGCCTCGGGATGCCTTCCGGCAGCCGCGCCTCGCCGCAAGCGTTCAAGGAGTGCCCTGATCCTCCCTGACGGCCGTAGGAGATCGGAGTCACTACGGCCGAGCCTGGGACAGAAGACAAGATTTCAAGAACATGAGACCATCCACCGGCCAAACTGAAGAACATTCGAGCCGATCTTATGCCAACCGACCTCGATCTTATGCCTCGGTCTGACCGTACCCGAAAGCCAGACCCCGCGCGTGCGGAAAAAAAGCTACAACGGACGGTGGCCCACTGTCGAGACTCGGAAATCTGGGTTTGGGGCGTCATCCTTGTCGCCCCTTTCCTCCTCCCTTCCTCTTCCCCTCCTGCTGCCTCTCCCCCTCTCCCCCTCCACCTCCTCCATGCTTTCCTTCAACCTCCGCCTGGCAACCCTTCCACTCGTCTCCTCACTCCCACTTCCACTTGTACACCTCATCAGAATCCACGCCCAGCTGGCTGAAGTAGGCACCAATCTCTGGAACCTGCATTCGTCTCCGCATCTCCTCCTCTGTGATGTCACCGTCCTCGTCAACGTCCAGTTCCTGAAAGATCTCTCTCATGGTCTGGAGGAAGTCCTTCTTTGCCATGAGCTCATTCTGCACCACCTCACGTCGTCCTCCCCCTCCACCTCTTCCTCTTCTTCAGATCCTCCGCCTCCCCTCCCCCTCCGTCTCCCCTGCATTATCCTCATCCTCTTTCTCTCTTCCTCTTCCTCCTCCTCCTCCTCCTCCTCCTCCTCCTCCTCCTCCTCCTTCTCCTCCTCCTCCTCCGTCTCCTCCTCCTCCTCCTCCTCCTCCTGGGTCCTCCTCCTCCTCTCATTTTCATCCTGCTTCTCTCTATAGATGTAAAGATACCAGGACCACGCGCGCAAGCATCGCGCGCGCTTAGGCTCTTGCCGCACCCAAGGAACTCGCATCGCAAGTTGCAAATGAGGAATGCAGTGACGATTCTGGAGATCCCTCGGGGGTGGTAGAGGGACCTGCGGCAATTGTCTTTGGGATCCAAGCGACGTATCGGGGAGTCCTGGGGCTTATTCGGCGTGTCTTGCGCTTCCTTTGGTCTACCCGAGGACCGAAGGAGGAGGAGCTGAGCAACGAAGAACTGTGCCCCAGTCTCGCTCCGAAGTCCACGCCACCAAGGCCACAGCATGGAGTATCGAAAGCCGCCCTCTCCCTTCCTGGCCACGCATCTGGGGCCAAGCCAAGGCGCGACGAAGTCAAGACGAAGTCAAGACGCTCTTGGGGCCGCGCTGGGGCCATTCTGGGCCCACCTTGGGCCGTCTTGGGGTCCTCTTGGATATCTTGGGCCGTGCTGTGTTCCCTCGAGCGCCATCTCAGGGCATCTTGAGCCGCTTTGGGGGCCCTTTTGGGGGCCCTCGTGAATTGTCTCAGGCCCATACTGGGCCCTGTCAGGGCTCTTTGGGGCCGTCTAGGGGCGAGCTCAGAGGTCGTTAGGGCTGCAACTGTAAATTTCATCACAGAATTCATTGGTGGGAGCGTGCCCGCTCGAAGTTGATGCGTCCCAGGTTCAGGCGACGGTGCGGCCAAGACAGTCCCAGGCGCCTTCCGGGCGTGCCCGCTGGAGGATTGTGCGTCCGAGGGGCACACCATGTAAACCATGATTGCCAGCGTTTACTCCTGGATCACGGCAGGAGCATTGTGGAGCTCCCGTGGGGGCCTAGTCGAGATGCTCCCATGGAGAATTGTGAGCAAATTGGGCAGACCTGCTCCGCTTTCCTACGACCGCACGTTAGCAAGACGACCCTAGTTGAAACACACATGAGCAACAAAAACAAACGGATCTCACGCGAGAAGACATTGCAATCCCGCGCCACGACTTACGTGGGCCGCCAGCGCGGCACGCTACATTGGCCACGTTTGGGCTTCCTGGGGGGGGGGCTGAGTAAGGAGCCCCCGTCCTTGATCGATCTCCTCCAAGATGGCCCCCCCAAGATGGCCCCAGAGGCTCCCAAGGGTGCCTCAAGAAATGCCCAGGAGGCCCTAAAAGGTCACCACGATGCCCCCAAGATGCCCCCAAGAGGCTCCCAAGACATCCCCAAGAGGCTCTAAGAGGCCCCCGAAACACCCAAGACGCCTCAAGAGGCCGCCCGGACTGCCAAGAGACCCCCAATACGCCCCAAGAGGACGTCACGAAATTCTCGAAAGAAATCCGAAGAGACTCCGAGAGGCATCCGAGAGGCCTTTGGCCTTTCTGCTCGCCCTCCTCCTCCTCCTCCTCGTCCTCCCCCTCTTCCTCATCGGCCTGTCCCCCCTTCTCCTCGTCCGGTTCCTCCTCCTCCTCCTTCTCCTCCTCCTCCTCCTCCTCCTCCTGTTCCTCCTCCTTCGTCAGGCCCCCAAGAGACCCCGAGCGTCTAAAATATTATTCACCACTGACGACGACGCGCAAAAAAAACATAGACAGGCGGGCAAGCGGGACATGGGATGCAACTGCAAGTGGCACTCGGTGATGGGACGGCGTCGAGGATAGGCAGGAGTGTCAGCACCCTCGGGGTACACCCAGGGCTTGAGGCGAGATGAGGCGGGCGGCACCATCGGGCCCGCGCGAGAGCGACTGATGCGCTCTGAGAGGAAATCGTGCCGAGAAAGGAATCCAGGCAGGCGGACGCCTAGGTAACTGTGGGGGCCGCTGATCCCCCTTGCCAAAAACCCAAGTCTCTGAGCGAAACGCTACGGCCTTGAGTCACAATGATAACGGACCCCCCTCCTCCTCCTCCTCCTCCTCCTCCTCCTCCTCCTCCTCCTCCTCCTCTCCTCCTCCTAGTCCTCCTCCTTCACCTCTCCTCCACCTCATCCTCTTTCCTCCTCCTCCTCCTCCTCCTCCTCCTCCTCCTCCTCCTCCTCCTCCTCCTCCTCCTCCTCCTCCTCCTCCTCCTCCTCCTCCGCCTCCTCCTCCTCCTCCTCGTCGCGGGGGTGGGTGTTGAGGCATGCTCCGCGCGATCCCGAGGTGTGGACGGTGCGGCCCAGGCGCCCAGAGCCGAAGGGGCACCACGAGTGGAGGGCAGAGCGGGGCGTGGGGCTCTGCCGGGGCCGAGCGCCGCGCTCGCAGCGCCCACAGAGAACCTGCTCGAGGCGCTCAGTGCAGAACCCGCCGAAGGGCGTGATTCATTGCCGACATCATCACCGCCACCATCATCATCACCATCAATACCACCGACATCCTGACCACCATCATCGCCACCCGCATCACAAGAATCACCACCAGAAGCAACATCTCCCGCATCATATGTCATTGTTCATGATCCCCCATATCTCCTGTGTCTCCTTTCTCTTGCGCCTCATCCCCCCTCCTCCTCCTCGACCTCCTCCTCCTCCTCCTCCGTCTCCTCCTCCTCCCTCATCCTATCGTCGTCACCTCCCACTCGGTCAACCACACCCTTCTCCTCTCCCTCCTCATCATCATCACCGTCCTCGTCGCCGTCGCCATGAAAAAAAAGACAAAAACACATCATCACCATCATCATCATCATCATCATCATCATCACCACCAGCATCAGCATCAACATCATCATCATCATCATCATCATCATCATCATCATCATCATCAGCAGCATCAGCATCAGCATCATCATCGTCATCAGCATCGTTATAATCAGCAAAGTCAGCATGAGCCTCATCAGCGTCAGTATGGCATCAGCATCAGCATCACCCGCAGCAGCAGCATCGTGATCATCTGCGTCAGTATCATCAGCATCAGCAGCAGCATCATCATCATCATTAACAGCATCATCATCAGCAGCATCACCAACATCATCAGCAGCATCAACATCATGAGCATCAGCAGCATCAGCAGCAGCATAGGCATCAGCATCATCACCATCGACACCAGTAGCATGATCATGATCATGATCATGATCATGATCATGATCATGATCATCATAGTCGTCATCAGCATCAGCATCATCATCATCGTCAGCATCAGCATCATCGACATCATCATCGACATCCACAGAATTCAATTACACTTTACCACCATCATCAGCGTCGTCATCATCAACATCATCACCAACTTTATCATCACCATCCTCATCAACACCAACATCATAATTAGCATCACACTTATCACCATCGTCGTCCTTTTATCACCAACATAATCAGCATAACCAGCATCCTCAACAACAGCAGGTTCAGCATCATCAGCATCGTCCTCGTCATGATTATCAGCAGCATGACCATCAGTCATCAGCGCATTCTGCATCAGCATCAGCAAGGTCACCATCATCACCACCATTACATCATACTCAGCATGGTCATCATGATGATCATCCTCATCATCGTCAGCATCATCATCATTACCATCATCATCATCAGCAGCATGATCCGAAACATCATCAGCGTCATCATCATCCTCATCATCATCTGCACCATCAGCAGCATCAGTATCTGCATCAGCATCAGCATCAGCATCAGCATCATCATCACCACCAACATCACCATCAGCAATTACATCATCAGCAATCATGTTGAGACTGGTTGCTCTTACCTGCTCGCGGGCCATTCGACACATATATCCCAAACTCTCGACGCCCACCCTCTTCGTCATCGATCGGACACCCTTGGGAATATATATATATATAGATATAGATATAGATGTATATATGTTGTGTGCTTCGTACAGGATGTCCGTCAACCGCGACTCGTTAGACAAGTTGAACCAACTTGGCCATCAAGCGCACGTCGTAGTCCACGGGAGCGCAGATCGAGAGGAACGTGCACTGCTGGCTTTTCGAGCCAACTACCCTGTGGCCCAGGCTGAGCTCGCGGAAAACCGAAGTCCTGCCGAGACATCTCCGCAGGATGGCCGTCCCCCCTTGACGGACGGCGCAAACTGACCCCTTGCCGGGGGGAACAGAACACGCACATCCTGAATCACGTTCGCAAGCATGCTCGAGAGCGAGGCCGCTCGGTCATCTGGCGTATCTCTTGAAGCAGCATCATGTCATCATCGTCCCCAGCTAAATGAAGGACTGCGTTCAAACGGGCCTTGGACAGGCTGCTCACGTTCATGGTGGGGATTCGTCTGCTGGCCACCGTCTCTGCAGCACCGCCTTCATTATAAGAAGTATGCTCGTCACCTCCTTCAAAAAGAGGGTCCTCACAACAAGGGAAATCCACAGGGAGAACCACAGGGAGAGCGTGGTGCCTACGTATCGACGGCGCGGCGTCTGAATAAGATGCGAGGAAGTCCCACGCCAGACCGCGGTTCCTGCATAACATGTGAGGAAGTCCCGCGCGAGAACGCAACTTGGGAATGCACTGTCAGGAAGTATCCGGCGGGAGCCGTTATTGTTATTGTTGTTGATGTAAAAAAGGGGGCCAGGTGCGCAGTTTGGTGACACGTCACTTCCCCTTGTAAAAAATTACCCTGGCGACGTACCCAACCCCTGCGCAAAAGCGGGGCGCAAATAGTTTAGGATACTTTATAAGGGGGCGATGACGGAGCGAGGGTTACATATGTCTGCAGACGGAATTCGGGAGACTCGCAGGACACTGGCTACAGGAAAAGGGCTTGATAAAGCTGATGATTTACAATTCCTGAGCACTCCTAGCCACTTCGAAAACGGGGATCACAGCAGGCCTCGAAAGTGGCGACAGGTTCACAGATCGCAGCCCCGCAGGGATGGCGAGGTCTCATTTGAATCTGCCCGTGGCCCTCACTGTGCTGGGCCCCCCAGCAGGCCTCGAAAATGGCGGCAGTTTCGCAGATCGCAGCCCCCCAGGGATGGCGAGGTCTAATTTGAATCCGCGCGTGGCCCTCACTGTGCTGGGCCCCCCAGCAGGCCTCGAAAATGGCGACAGTTTCGCAGATCGCAGCCCCCCAGGGATGGCGAGGTCTAATTTGAATCTGCGCGTGGCCCTCACTGTGCTGGGCCCCCCAGCAGGCCTCGAAAATGGCGACAGTTTCGCAGATCGCAGCCCCCCAGGGATGGCGAGGTCTAATTTGGGTCCGCCCGTGGCCCTCACTGTGCTGGGCCCCCCAGCAGGCCTCGAAAGTGGCGACAGTTTCGCAGATCGCAGCCCCCCAGGGATGGCGAGGTCTAATTTGAATCCGCGCGTGGCCCTCACTGTGCTGGGCCCAGCAGCCGGCCTCGAAAGTGGCGACAGTTTCGCAGATCGCAGCCCCCCAGGGATGGCGAGGTCTAATTTGAATCCGCGCGTGGCCCTCACTGTGCTGGGCCCCCCAGCAGGCCTCGAAAGTGGCGACAGTTTCACAGATCGCAGCCCCCCAGGGATGGCGAGGTCTAATTTGAATCCGCGCGTGGCGTCACTGTGCTGGGCCCCCCAGCAGGCCTCGAAAGTGGCGACAGTTTCAGATCGCAGCCCCCCAGGATGGCGAGGTCTAATTTGAATCCGCGCGTGGCCCTCACTGTGCTGGGCCCCCCAGCAGGCCTCGAAAGTGGCGACAGTTTCACAGATCGCAGCCCCCCAGGGATGGCGAGGTCTAATTTGGGTCCGCCCGTGGCCCTCACTGTGCTGGGCCCCCCAGCAGGCCTCGAAAGTGGCGACAGTTTCACAGATCGCAGCCCCCCAGGGATGGCGAGGTCTAATTTGGGTCCGCGCGTGGCCCTCACTGTGCTGGGCCCCCCAGCAGGCCTCGAAAGTGGCGACAGTTTCACAGATCGCAGCCCCCCAGGGATGGCGAGGTCTAATTTGAGGCGGGAGGCGGGAGAAGGGACGCGACCACACTGCTCTATTCAAAACGAATACCCAACCAAGGAGGGTTGGGAAAAAACAGGGCGTGAGCCCAGGGAGAAGCACTTTAATCGAACGGTTATAACAGGGGAGGTCAACTATACTTATTACTCAACCAAAACAGCAATCATCTTCCAACTGCTCGCTCCTACCTGTTCGCATGCCACTCAACACTTCTACCCCAAACCATCGGTACCCGCCCTCTTCGTCTTCATCGTACACTCCTGGGGGGTGTATCTTCCATACCTGCCGCGTGTCATTGGTGCAGCACCTGGAACAGGGCAAGAGAGGATGGAAGGGAGAGGGAGAGGGATGGAACACGGGATTAGCAGGAGAGAGGCTAGGACCAGAAAACACGTGGCAGAACCAGACGGGCCCATCGGTCGCGTAGACCCTAACAAGCGGGTCGGGAAGGCGGGCCCAAGCGGCCAGGTCGAGAGGGAGTTGCTGAAGCGCGCGTCCTGCATGAATCGCTGGGAAGTCTCGAGCGATAGCGCGATTCCCAAGTACATCGTGACAAAGGCCAAAGCGAGAGCGTGATTCCTGAGTGTCGAGGGCGCGGCGTTTGAATGGACTGCGAAGAACTCCCACACGAAAGCGCAATTCCTGCATAACTTCTTAAGGAAGAAATCCCGCGCGAGACCGCGACTTTAAACAAAACTTGTGACGAAGTATCAAGCGAGAGCCGTTGCTGTTGAGTGTAGCTCGGGGCCCAAAAACGCAATTCGGTGGCCTCTCACTTTCAATTGTTGAAAACAGGGTGCGAAACCCGGGAGAAGCACTAGAAAGGGGAGTTCAACAACAATAACAACCTCATCATCACCACCACCACCATCACCATCATCATCACCATTATCAGCATCATTAGCACAATCAGCATTATCAGCATTATCAGCATCAGCACCATCATCATCATCATCAGCATCATCATCATCATCATCATCATCATCATCCTCATCATCATCCTCATCATCATCATCATCATCATCATCATCATCATCATCATCATCAGCATCATCATCATCATCATCATCATCATCCTCATCATCATCCTCATCATCATCATCATCATCATCATCATCATCATCATCATCATCATCATCATCATCATCATTATCATCAGCATCATCATCATCATCATCATCATACTCGGCATCGGCATCATCACCATGATCATGATCATGATCATAATCATGATCATCATCAGCAGCAGCAGCAGCATCATCACCACCACCACCACCACCATCATCATCATCATCAGTATCATCATCATCATCATCATCAGCATCAGCATCAGCATCAGCATCAGCATCATCATCATCATCATCATCATCATCATCATCATCATCATCATCATCATCATCATCATCATCATTAGCATCATCAGCATCAGCATCATCCTCCTGATCATTGTCGTCGGTGTCGTCATCAAACTGGCCCTAATGATCATCCTCTTCCTGTTCGTCTCAAATTCGCCGGCCCAACGGGCCAGAGGCGTGCTAAGATCTCCGGTGACTGCTTTACAATCTTTCTACTTCGCGCGCGCGGGGCGGCCCCTGGGGGCCCCCGGGCGGAAAGTACCCCGGCAAGGTCCCGAGAGAGTCCCGGGAGGAGTCACCAGGGCGCTCCAGCAGCGCACCAACGCGGCTCCGAGACGTCCCCGAGAGCCCCAAGAAGGGCCAAGAGGCTTCCAAGAGGCCCCCAAGATGCTACATGAGGGGTCCGAGATGCCACAAGATCGCTCCAAGACGCCCACGATGGCCCCCAGACGCCCCAAGAGGCCTCCAAGAGCACTCCCGAGAGGGCCCCAAGAGGCAAAATTCACTGCTTTTCCTTAGGTTTTGGAGAGATTTTGGCGTTTCCACCTTTTCGGCTTCACGACACCCCAAGACGGCCCAAGAGGCCCCCAAGACCGCCCCAAGAGGGCCCAAGAGGCCCCCAAGAGGGCCCCAAGACGGCCCAAGAGGGCTCCAAGACGGCCCAAGAGGCCTCCAAGACGGCCCAAGAGGGCCCCAAGAACGCCCCAAGAGGGACCCCAGGGGGGGAACACGAAACAATATTTCGAGCCCTCGGCCCTCAGAAGTCCCCAGGAGGCCCCAAGAGGCCCCTAAGAGGCCCCAAGAGGCCCCCAACAGGCCCTCAGGAGGCCCCCAAGAGGCCCCCAAGCGGCCCCAGGAGGCCACCCAAATGCCCCCCCGAGCACGCAAGCAAGTGCCAGCGACGCTACACTATGGGCCGGCGGAATGAGCGAAGCGATTCAATAACCCAATTCCACCCACAACTCCAGAGGGGGTAATACCGTATGACCACGTCGATGCCTCGGGAACGTATTTAATTGCCCTCGATATGCCCTCTCTTCTCCTCCCTCACCTTCTCCGACTCATCTGTCCCTCTCTCCCTACTCTTCCCTCTCCCTCTCTTTCGTCACAATCAAAACCACCACCATCATCACGAACAACACCACCACCATTACCATCATCATCACCACCACCGTGATCATCATCCCTCCATCCAATTCTCCCTCCGCCCCCCCTTCCCACTCATCCTCCCTCTCCCCCCTTCTCCTTCCTCCCCAGCCCCCTCCCCCCCCCATCATCCGACGACGACGTTCCCACCAGGCCGCGGTCGCTCTTGGAGCGGGCCATCGTGCTTTCGATGAAAACAGCAGTGACCACGTTGAGCAACGTCAGCAGGGAGAAGCAAACGAAGAGCAGGAACACTGCCTCTGGAAAGCAACACAAGGGGGAGGAATCGAGTCTAGGATGTTCTTTGCCATCCTTGAGCGTCGGGGGCCTACAGGGGCAGGGGGGATTTTTTTTGCCCGCAAAGTTCCAGCTGCCGAAGGGTGAACGCCAGGCGCCCAAGGCAGAGGCAGGCGACAGCGAAACCTGGCCCCTGCGTGCAGGGCGACCTGCTCAGGCTACAGGCGCGGGGACCTGTAGCAGGAGGGCAGACGGCTCGTCCTGGCCCTGATTAGGCCCAGACAAACGCACAGCCCAGAAAGAGGCCCCAGCGACCCCGTGGGTCAGGGGCACAAGGCGGAAGAAACAAGCTAGTCCGAGTCCGAGGAAGAAGAAACCTCAGGACACCCACCCGCAGCTCGGACTAGTCTGTTGACTTTCGCTTGAAAAGTAGCGGAGGCCGACCGAGCGGGAGCAATCGGCTCCAGGTCGTCCCTATCCGCCGAAGCAGCTCGCGCCTGTCGGGACGCTGCCCGAGGAACATCGCCCCCGCTCGGGGGAGAAAGGGCATTGGACATCACATTAGGACCGAGGGTAAACGACGAAGACGAATACTCCACGACTCTATCAGGCTGTGAGTCCGATAAAAACTTGGCGGTGACCTCCTCATCATCGAAACCTGTAGGGGCCACCGCGTGCACAGGAGGCAGGCGTGAAACAAAGCCCACCTGCACAGTGCCCAACTCTGCGTCGGGAGCCCCCCCCCGTTGAAGCAGCAACTGACCCGAGCACATCCTCAACGCCACGAGTTGCTTCTCCAATGGGAGGGGTGTAAGAAAAACCATCCACTAATACTCGGACCTGCGACTTGTCACGCTGGGGGTGGAATCCCAGCAGCAGTCTTTTCCACTTGGATTTTTGCCACGGGAGCATGGTCCCTGGGCCAGGGCAGCGTCTCAAAAACAGGTTCGATTTGAGCGGTGAGCCCGTCGAAATCTGAGCCGTGCAATGGACGCAGATATACAAGATGGAATGATCAGAACAAGCTAGGCCGACAATAAAGTGGTTACTATTTCTGACCAATTCAAAATCCAGTCCAGGAGCAGGCCCCGAGCACTTCCTAGGAGGAGGAATGGGACGTGCACCGAATCTGAACGTGAAGCTGGCCCTAGATGCCTTGAAACAGTGAGTGCACCGCCAGAATCCCGCAATCCTGACAAAAGAGCACACGTCTGAGGCCACCGCAGCAGCATTGGGACGTTCGGGCTTGATATACTCAACTTCACCGAACTCCCTGAGAGATGGAAAACGGGGCAAAATCTTCATTGCTAACTTGCAAAACGCTTCAGTGTATTTGATACGACGATCGGTTTCTTCCAGCACCTGGTGGTCCATGGGATGCAACGAAACCGCGCTCTTTGCGCCTAAGTCAGCAAGATGGTTCCCCGTCCTGCAATAAATGTCATCTTCCGTCAAACCAGCTTCGCTAAGACTGAGATGAGCCTTGATCTTGATAACTCTTTCCAAAAATCTGTGGGCATCGTCTGCCCTTGCCTGGACGATATGTCCAGCATAAGCCTTGTGAAAATGGGCGTACAGGTCAGGCGCAGCGTGGTAATCATTGACCACATTAGCGCAATCTGAAAGAATAGAGGCATGACCCTTGAGGCACATCACTGAACCTGTAAAAGAAGAATATTCTGCCGCCTGGGGTGACTGCCGAAGTGGCGGGTGAACAGGGCACCGGATCTCGCAAATTCGCACCCCGTCCTTAAAAGCGTTGCAACACCAGCCAGCGCGGCAAAGTTCACGGATGGGATGCCGTGTGCAAGAGCCGTCTACAAAAATGTCACCTTCCAGCGAAAACTCGTTTTCAGGAGGATCGACGAACCAATCGGCAACCCAGGACCCAGCCGCCAGCGGCCCAGGATGGATGTCCCCAGGATGAGGCAAACCTCCACGAGTAACCGAAAACAACAGGTTTCGGTTCGTAACATGGCCGTCTATGCTGTCGAGTATTTCGCGACCCACCAGTTCGAGACGTTCGTCGGCCAGAGCAGGACATTTCCATATCCTGTGATACAGTGTGTCGCGGCCCCCGCAGCCCAAAGGACACACCACAGGGTACTGATAGCCCTTTCCGCGGGCATACACACGGGTCCAGAGAGCTCCAGAAGCGATCGCCCTGAGAGCCCCCTTCTCCAAGGGAGTGTTCTTTTTGGACCGCAAGTGCCGAGTAACAATATCAAAGCAAACCCTATCAGGAAAACCGTGACGTTCTCCGATGCGTCGCTCAAGTTGTCGAAGCACAGCGTCCTTAAGCTGGAGCCTCAACATGCCTGGCGACAATAACACAAGAGAGAACTCGTGGCCTTGGTCAGTCACTAGAGTAGCGAAATTCTTAGCAGTCCAGCCAAGGCGACGAAGAGAATACCGCAGGGCCGAAACGGGGCCAGCGACGGATCGCCAAGTTTTCCAGGGCTGAGCAAAAACCTGATCAAAAGCGAACCTGATCTGCTGGAAACTTAAGGTGGAGGGGTGAACACGCATTCGAGTGTTCCATATTTCTTTAGCCCAACGCAGGATGGGGGAAACCTAAATGAGCCACGTAGGGTCCTCCTCGAGGAGCAACAAAATAGAAAGACTCCTGTCCCCCGCGGAAGGTAGGGGCAGGGGGGGAGCAGAAAAGGGAGAGAGAGAGCACAAACGCCCCCTTTGCGGAGCAGAGGCGGGGTAGAAGGAGGGGATGGCAGGGAAAGAAGGAGCCAGCTTGGCTTCGCGTTCCAGACTTATGCGCCTGCCATTAGCGTGCCATGTGTCTCCGCTTGACTGCGATAACGTTCGGGATGCTAACGTGTCATGGAACTCAGAGGGTACTGATTGAGTCTACACAGTAAGGGCGCCTGCTTCTGATGGCCCGAATGCTCATCATGCTGCGTTTGCTTACAGCTGCTTGTTCCAACAGTTCAGTCCCGCAGGCAGGATTCTTGGAACCAGACATGAGGAGACAGGCGGTAACTCGACGCTAAAACCAGAAAACCCATGAGGGCTATCGCTTGAATGGCAGACCAGTGTTTCTCTCCTCTTTCAAGGAGAGGGTGCTTTCCGTGGTGAAGCAAAAATGCTTGTAGGGACTATGATGAGGGGAATTGGGATGGGAGGGTTTATTAGTTTATGGAAGCATCGCTGATGCAACCCGGGTTGTTTCTATTCCACATCCTCCTCGTGCGCATCCGCGTCACCCTTCCCCTCCCCATCCTACTCCTCCTTCGCTCGTGGGCGCCGATTGCTTGAAAGGTCCCGAGCCTTGTACCCCCAACCGATGACATCTAGGTTTTGCCAGACGACGTCCCAGTCGATGCCGCCAGACATCGCCTGGAAGAGCGTTATCACGGCGTCGAAGAGCGAACCGAATCGATCCTGCAGCATCTCAACCGTGTCCCCCTCGGGGAGGCCATTCTGCACCAGGAAGGCCACCGCCCCCTCGGACAGCACTGTGCCTGCGCCCATCGCCTTCCTCACTCCCGCCATGCGTCTCACTCGCCTTCTTCCTCCCTCTCTCACCCTCTCCCTCCTACTCTCCACCTACCTCTCCCGGTTGCCTTTTCCCTCCCTCCGTCTTCCTCTTCTTCGCATCCTCATTACCATGGATGCTGCCTCAACCACGCTGGAAAACACCAGCCTCTGCGGAAGGAAGGCAGCTGAAGGGCACTTCCATGACGAATATTGCATGCCCTTGCTCTCAGGAGAGGGTCATCGTGTCGCCCTGGGTGCCCCTCAGACTGCGGGAACAGGCAGATACAGATACTGTTACTCCCTGGACCACTCCTGGGGCGCGTTCTGCAAAGGATTGCGAAGCGAATCCAGCCGTAGCAAAGTCTGGCGGGTGGTCCTAAAGGGGCCCTTCAGGGACCTTTCGGGAGCCACCAGGGGCCCCAAAGGGGCCCTAAAGGGCCTGCCTGGGGTTGTATTCTTCAACCCCCATTTGGGTCATCCCCCATTGCCACCCGCCCGACAAAGAGGGACGGGCATCGGCGTAGGTATCTTTTCCTCCTTTGACTGACACTCGGTGCAACAGCACTGCCTGATGGGCCGCCCTCCCGCTTAGCGGGGGTCTGCGGGACCCCGCCGTGACGTCATCGCCTCCAGAGGCTAACCCGCAGGGCCCACGCCGCAGGATAGTCTGGAGGCGGCGTTGGAAGCCATCATCATCATCATCATCATCATCATCATCATCATCATCAGCAGCAGCAGCAGCAGCATCATCATCATCATCATCATCATCATCATCATCATCATCATCATCATCAGCAGCAGCAGCATCATCAGCATCATCATCATCATCATCATCATCATCCTCATCCTCATCCTCATCCTCATCATCATCATCATCATCATCATCATCATCCTCATCATCATCATCATCATCAGCATCAGCATCAGCATCAGCATCAGCATCAGCATCATCATCAGCATCATCAGCATCATCACCACCATCACCATCATCATCATCATCAGCAGCATCATCATCATCATCATCATCATAATCATCATCATCAGCATCATCAGCATCATCAGCATCAGCATCAGCATCATCATCATCATCATCATCAGCAGCAGCAGCAGCATCATCAACATCATCACCAACATCATCAGCATCATCGTCAGCATCATGCCATCGGGTCACTGGGCCGCCTCCGCCCCTGACGTGCCACGTCGCAGAAGAGAAGCACCACCAGGCGTCACACTTACGGTTGGCGTTGGAAAGATAGCGTACAACATCGATCTCTGCTGTACACGCTCCGCCCCTGCCAGCGCTTCTTTGGTGCACTTTATCCCCAAGATGGGGGGACAGCTTGTAAGAAACGGGCTGGCAACGCCACATCGCACTTTATCTTTTCAAAACTATACGTAAGACGTCGCGCCCGGTGCATGCATCAGTCTAGCCAGACGCGCAACCAAACAAAACACTGTACACACATGAACGTCCGGAGGTCCACGCGGACTCCATGGATCGGCGCTGGATCGGGCTCCGCGCGCCAGGGAGGGGGGATGTCCTCTGCATGGCTGACAGGGCGCGCGATTGCGTGGGCTCGAGCGATGAAACTTTGTCATTGCTTCCCCGCTGGGCTGCCTCCGCGCGCGATGGAGAAGCAGCACACTCTGGGGACGCGATTCTTTGCGCACCGCCCCACGAACAAGCTTGTCCGGCACGAGACAATGGAGAGGAGGCTGTGTACAAACATGGCATCCTCTGGGGACGCGATCTTGCGCACCACATTAACAAACAAGTTTCGAGGGCGAACCCGGGGAGAAGTGAGAGGGGGGAGACCTTCTCAGTACGCGGCGGGGCTTCTCAGAAACCAGTTGGACTTCTGAGAAGCCGTCTCAGTTTTTGGAGAAGGCGCAGGAACTTTCTCACAGGGCGCGACGGTCTCTCGCTGCCGAAGGTTGGCCCGGCAGAAAATGCAAGCGCGGGGCAGCGGCCACAGATCGGCAGCGACACCCCCACGACCCGGCTGTTGCACGGGCTGCGCCGCTCCCAAACCGGCGAGAACGGCGAGGGCGACGGCGCGGACGAGCTCTACTCGACGACGACAACTCCCGCTTCCATCCGCCCTTCCTCTTTTTGCCCCTCCATTCTCGAACGCGAAAGATTCCCGTACCCTCACCCAGGCGGGGTGGCAAAGGGCGGGGGGAGCGACGCGCCGCAGCCGACGGCGGTTGCACAAATGCAAATGCGACGGCCCATGGAGCATTACAGGACGCTGTCTTCTACGTGCATTCGCTGGCACCGAAGGCGCGCGCGCTCCAATCGGCAGAATGGCCGACCACGCGTTAGTCACTCTCGGGCTAGAGTAGCTCGTTCGGCGGTGCGCCCGAGAAGGCGCACAATCAAGAGCTTGGGGCTCGACGCGCAAAATGCGTCCTGGGCGTCCTGGGCGGGCGCCGCTGCAATCCCGAATTCGCCCCAAACGCCTGGGGCCCCGCGCGCCAGGCGCGGTCGCCAGGGGTTGCTCCGTGGAAAAACCCGCCTGGCGTCACCCCAGCTAGGTCCGGGTACGTGTCGGGGGGGGGGGGGGGGGCCAGTTCCCGACGCGCGTTGATGGTGCCCCCGGACACGTACCCGTACCTAGTCGAGGTGGCGTTTGGCAGAAATTGCTCTCGGGCGCACGCGCAGCCCCCGAGAGCGCTCCAGAACGCGGCCGCAGCGGCCCCCAGGGGGGCGCGAGATTGCAGCGACGCTCCTGCGGGCAGGCCCAAACGCAACGAGGGGCGGGGACAGGCACCACCACTCCAATGCTGTTTTAAACCCCGCGGACACCCCCGATGCCCCCAGACGTCCCTGACGCAAGCCAGGGCATGTCGCTGCCATCAAACAAGCAGCCGTTCAGCGCGTCGTTGCGTCCTGACGCGCAGATGTGAAACAGCGCGGACGCGGCAGGCTGATCGGGCGCAGTGGCAAGCGCCCAATCCAGCGGACGGCCCTTTTCACCCAGGCCGACCCCAGGTAAGGGCATGTTCAGGACCAATGATCCATCTCTCCACAGCATTGTGGCTCGACCGATCGCACGGCTGTCGATGTCGGAGGCCCCGATGGCGGCGCCCAGAGGGACCATCTCCGCCGCCGACGCCGTTGTCCTCGTGGACGCGGCGCTGCAGGCGGCGCAAGGCGCTGCCCAGCGCACGCTAGGCGCCGTCACAAGTGCGGCCGTGGCTGCGGCGAAGTCGGCCGTTGCGGGCCCGCCGCCCGTGGTGGCGGCTGCTGGAGGCGCTGGGGAACACGGCGACGACGACGACGACGACGACGACGACGACGACGACGACGACGACGACAGGGAGCGCACGGGGCAAGGGGCGGCTGCGGCTCGAGCGGCGCAGCGGGAACGGCGCCGTCGGCGCCGCCTACGGCTGACTGCTCGACGCGCCCTGACACGCGGGAGCGTGGCGGCGGCGGCTGTGGAGAAGGGCGCGCTCGAGGCGGTCGAGCCCATGGCGCTGGACGGCCCGGTGGTGGCGACCCCTCATGTCGGTGTCAGCGACGTCCTCGACGATTCAAGAGCAGATGCGGCGCGGCCGCAGCGGATGCAAGAGGCGACTGGAGCGGTGCACCCGGGCGGCCCGATCGCCGCGGAGGCCGCGCCTGCAGCACTGCTTTCGTCCGCACCTGACCAGGGTATGGCGGAACCTGGGCGCGGTGTTGCTGGTGCGGCGGCGCAGGAGCTCACGTCCGCGGAAAGGTGGTTTGAAAAAGAGCTCGAGAAGGCCCTCCCCCAGGCGGTCAAGGCGATGGGCATGGTTTCGCGCTGACCCCCGTGGCAAAGGCCTTCCGAACTCGTCAGAGAAAGCCGTTCCCAACCTGGGCGGCGGCTACGGCGAGTCCACATCCGTAGCCATTTTGGCTCAAGCTTCAAGAGGAGGATATATCTCTCCTCACCGAAACTTCGCCTATCAGAAAAAAAGTCTACCACACGCTCGACCGATGTCGCAACCTCGGCCTGGTGGAAGGGTGCTTCTGAGGAGTTGATCGAGCAATCCGCCAAGAAGATGGTGAACATCTTGGCTCCGATCAAGAAGGAGATTGCCGACCTCCAGGGGGTCGTTACAACTATCAAGGGAGAGCAGGGGGAGATGAAGAAGAGGTTAGCCACTCTGGAATCAGGTAAGTCGGATGACGCGTTCAAGCCCACCTACGTCGCTATAGTTGGGATTTGTACCTTCCCCGAGCGCGACTCCAAGGGGATCAATCGTCCGGACGCCGTGAAGCTAGTCGAAGAGTTGAAGGAGGGACTAGATCCGTCTCTTCAGGTACATGTACGGGAAATCCTATTACAATCTGGTACAAACCATTCCATCCGAGTCCCGATTTCGACCGATTTCGTCAGGGAAATCGCCAACATTTGGAACGACCTTATCAAATCTCCAGAGGGTGGCTTCACGGGGAGGTTCCCGGATCTACGCGTGCGGCCCCAGGTACATCCAGACATCTACAAGGTCTGGCAGGTCTTCGGGAAGGTGTCAGATTGGGCCAAATCTGGTGCACTGAATTCTACGCTGGAGCCAACAGCGTACTGGGCGCCGGATTACAAAATTCGTATCGCTCTCTCGCAGGAAGAGGGCGACTTCGGCGTGAAGCCCACAAGAGTATTGTGCCAAGTCCTTACTGGCGGGGTCATCGATTGGAACCCGGAAGGTTTGAAGGCGGCCGGGTTAGGTAGTTCATAGGAGGCGAGTGCAAAAGTGCCCGCCTTCCAGAGGCCCCGGAAGTAGAGATGCCCACTGTCAAATTCGTGTCTGGTCGAAGGATCGGTTACGGTTGCAACATACAACGTGCACAAAAGGGCGCCTTGCAATGCAATACCCATCGAACGTAGTCTAAGACGGTTGGGTGTGGGCTCGGCTGTCATCTGTCTCCAGATAATCCCCCGCTGGACATCTGGCAGGGTTCTTACTGGGACTGGTTTCACTGTCCATTCAAGTCGTTCCAAGGCCGACGAAACTGCCAAGCGGGATGGATTCGATTGTGGCTTCCTTGTTCCTGGTGGCCTGAGTCAGCACATCAAAGGGGAGCAGCACGGCCGGTACTGGAGTGGGCTTGTGGTGGGCACGAGTAGCACCTATTACATCTTATTATTAAGTGTGCACTTTATCCACAAAAGTTGCTATGAAGAAGACTTGTATGGGACAGATGTTATCGATGAAGCTAGGGAGGAGACGGTACAATGCTGGAAGAAATGCGTGTCTAAATACGGTCGTCGTTTACACGTCGCTGCAGGGTTTGATGCAAACGTTCCTCTTCCGATCAACGAGGGGGGCCTCACTGGATCTGCTGTTCGTGATCGGCTGCCGTCCCACAGCACAGGGATGCAGCAGAAGATCTTATCTTGGATGGCAGCTCTGGGGATTCGTGCCCCCAATACTTTCGGCAAGGAGCGTGATCGATCTCAAATTGATTTTGTCGCAGTGTCTCTTGGGCTCCAGGAGATTGGGGAAGCCATTAACATCTTGGACGTTTGGTCGGAGAAGCCGCTCACTACCAAAATGGACCACAGGCCCGTGGTTGGACATCTGACGTGGCAACACCGACCCAGAGGATCTGAAGAGCGCATAAAGTAACTATACGACCACCCTTCGGGTGATAAGGAGGTTCGGGGGGGGGGAACCAACGTCTCACTCGATCGGTCTCACTATCGATCTCAGTATCGATCTCACTATCGGTCTCGCTCGATCGATCTCACTCGATCGATCTCACAATCGATCTCACTCGATCTATCTCATTCGGTCGATCTCACAATTGATCTCACAATCGATCTAACAATCGATCACACAATCGACCTCACATTCGGTCTCAATATCGATCTCATTATCGATATCACAATCGCTCTCACAATCAACGTCATCATCATCATCAACAACATCATCATCAACATCATCACCAACATCGTCATCATCATGAGGGCACCGTCATCATCATCACCATCATCATCATCATCATCATCATCATAAACATAATCATCAACGTCAGAATCATCATTGGAACAACAACAACATCATCATCATCATCAGCATCATCATCATCATCATCACCATCATCATCTCATCATCAACATCATCATCATCATCATCATCATCATCATCATCATCATCATCATCATCATCATCGGGACACAGTCATCGTCATCATCATCAGCAGCATCATCATAATCATCATCATAACAGGGACACAATCGTGATCACCATCGTTCTCATCATCAACATTATCATCAACATCGTCATCATCCTCGGGACACCATCATCATGATCATCGCATCATCATCATCGACATCATCATCCTCATCATCATCATCATCATCATCATCATCATCAACATCATCATCATCATCATCAGCATCATCATCATCATCATTGGAGCACCATCATCATCATGAGCAACATCATCATCAATATCGTCATTATCATTATTATCATCATCGGGACACCATCAGCATCACCATCATCATCATCACCATCATCATCATCATCAGCATCATCATCGGGACACCATAATCATCATCAACATCATCATCATCAACATCATTATCGCCGGGACACCATTTCCATCAACATCATCATCACCAACATCATCGGAATCATCATCATCATCCATCATCATCATCATCATCATCATCATTATCATCATCATCGTAGGGACACCATCATCGTCATCATCATCAACAGAATCAGCATGAGCATCATCATCCTCATCATCGGGTCACTATCATCATCATCGACACCATCATCAACATCATCATCATCTTCATCGGGACACCATCATCATCATCATCATCTCATCATCATCATCATCATCATCATCATCATCATCATCATCATCATCATCATCATCATCATCTCATCATCATCATCATCCTCGCGGGACATCGCGGGACACCGGCGGGACACCGCGGGACACCGCGGGACACCGCGGGACACCGCTGGACACCAGCGGGACACCGGCGGGACACCGCGGGCCCCCGGCCGCCCGGAAGGGAGTCATTTGGTCCGGCCGCGCCTCAGCCACACGGAACACCAGCGGGACACCGGCGGGACACCGCGGGCCCCCGGCCGCCCGGAAGGGAGTCATTTGGTCCGGCCGCGCCTCAGGAGACTTTCTCTCGCCCGCCCACGCAGCTTCGCCTCGTCCGCACGGCACGCACGAACACGAAACCGAAATCGATTTCCCGGTAGGGGGGCTCTCCGTTCCACTTCGATCTCACCCCCCAACCTCCGACGCCAGAAGTCTTCCTAAGACCCCGTTTGCTGACAATGCTGTGAGAGATTATTTCCAAAAGTGTATGGCGAAACCAGAAGTCTTGAGTCAGCCTTTGCGAGCATATGAAGATGTTCTCTTTCAGGTGGCCAGGCTACACCACGATTGGGACAACAGATCCGCCGTGACTCCGAAAGCTGCGTGTAGGGCTCGTTTGAAACAGCTGCGTTTCAGGATGCGGGTGGAATTGGATCCCGGGAGCCGGAGGACTTTCATGAAAGCTATATGGGCTGGGGTCCGGGAGTTGCGGCGCCTACGAGATGGTAAGACGTTGCTGATGATGAAGCGGGGGGCAAGTCAGGACAGGTTCGTGCCCGTTTCCTTCCATATCGATGGGAGGACCACGCACGATAGGGAGGAGTGGTTGGAAGGAGCCTTAGCTTTTGGACAGAAGCGATTTGGGGACAGTTCGAATTCCATTGAACATCAAACTATTCGAATTGCAGGTTTGACAGCCGCTACAGGGAGCACTGGGCCATTCAGCAATTTAGATGTTTGGGGTACTCTCCAGGCCGCTGCTGGGACAAAGCCAGGCGGGGCAGCTGGGGCCGACGGGAATCCGACCGAGGTCTAGAGGTCCTTGCCGTTCCTTGCACTAGCAAGGGTCCATGACTTCTTCGAGGAGGTGAGCGGTGAATGTCTCATGTTTCTACACCGACATATTGGAAGATTTTACAGTTTATCGGGTTACCAAAAACCAGTGCTGCCAATGCGCTGTCGGATCTTCGCTGGATTGGGAAGTCGCCTGTATTGCGGAAGATGTACATCAGAGCTTTGCGGCCTAGAATACGGGATCAATTGCGACCTTCTCGAGTGCATTGTTACGGATTCCTTAAAGGGATCGCTACAGCTGACCTCAATTGCGTGGTGCGGGAGGTCCTTTACGTTACTAAGGAGTGGAACTTCTCGGAACTGGTGTCTGTTCAAGGTGTCGCCATCGCTTTTGACTCCATGCCCCACCAGATGTTACTTGACTCCTTATTGGCACGGGGGCTTTTCTATTGGGACGCCGCGCTCATCATGCACGAGTTGTACAATATCCAGGCCACCATTTCTCTGCCGCAGGCCGGAGATACAGCGCACTTCTCCTTCTCTCGAGGTGGTAAACAAGGAGGCGTGGTCAGTGGAACACCATCGTTCAGCATATCATCGAACTGATTGTCATAAAATGGGAAAGTCTCGGTATGGGATTTTCTTTTCCTTCTGGGGACGGGGACGCAGAGTTTTGCATCAGCCACGCTGTCTGGACAGGCAACATCGTTCTGTTTGCGACCAATGGGGAGATGATGCAGTGCATGATTCATGACCTCAACAACGCATTTTCGGCTGCAGTCGACAACGCTGGGGAAAGGTACTTCAAGCGGAAGCCGTCGTCGCTGGAGGTGCTGGCCGGAGGACCCGACCCACGAATGAAGGTAGATGGTTTGTGGTTGGACCAGGGGGGCGAAATCTTGAAATACAAACCAGTTACTACCTACCTACGCACCTACCTTCCTTCGTACCTATCTACCTACCTACCTACCGACCGACCTACAGACCTACCGACCTACCGACCTACCTACCTAACTACCGACTTACCTACCTACCCACCTACCGACCTACCTACCACCTACCTACCAACCTTCCCCGCATCCTCTCCCGCTTCCGCCTCCTCAAACCCTCCCCCACCTGCTCATCCTCCTAGTTCCGGTTCCTCCTCCCTCTTCCCCGTCCCCCTCCTCCCCCTCCTCGTCCACCTCCTCCTCGTCCACCTCCTCCTCTCTCCTCGTCCCTCGTTCCTCGCTCCTCGTTCCTCGTTCCTCGCACCTCCTAGTCCTCCTCCTCCTCTCTTCCTCCTGTTCCTCCACCTCCTCCTCCTCCTCGTCCGCCTCCACCTCCTCCTCCTCGTCCGCCTCCTCCTCCTCTTCCTCGTCCCCTCCCTTCTCCTGGGTCGCCCACATGGGGCCCGACACCCAACTGCCTGAGAGGCCCAAAAACAAAAATGGATCAGCCACTACCCCCAGACACGTCTGGCCAGGCGGCCCGCTTTGGGGGCAGTTCGCCCTTCAAAAGCCTGGAAAGAGCCTGCTTGCCTGTCCGAGTGGGGGTGTGGCATGGGTTGGGGAGTCCAGACGAACTGTTGGCCCCTGAACCTCCACAACAAAGGCACCACCACAGGTCCTGGTATTCTCCATCCTGCGGGAGGAATGCATGT